AAACGTTGACTGTGTGCGCGCGACATCACGATTGCGCTTGCAGACACGCGAGCGAAATCGTTTAATCGCGTCTGTCCGTGTGCAACGACGTAACATGACGAATTATTCGCGCAACAGTCATAAATACAAGTCGCAATGCGCGCGAGCAACAGAAAGTATTCGAAGGTGACACTGAGGTATTCGCGCCGTTTGTCAGAAAGAAGCGGCGCAATGGCTCGCCGCTTAAGAAACGTTTTGTACATCCCCGTGGGAAACTGGTAAGTTTCACTGATAAGTGTTTCCTCTTCGAAATAATGTATCGAATAATTTATAACACGACGGTTCTTCTTGCGCCACTTTTTTTCACCAACTTTTTCAACAAGTCGCCGGTTTTTCTCTGAGTTTTACGAACCTATTTCCAAAGTCCGAAGTTTGAAAGTTCGATTAAAACTTTTTTAGTTTACTAATGAAACAATTAAAAATTAAACCGTATAAAATAAAACTTGCTAATTTAATCCCGAACTGAACCCTTTCATTGATCTTCTCTGGTGTCGCGTCTTTTTGGCTCTTCGATGATATCGCACTTTGAAATCGCAAAATGGTGAAGAAAAAACAAAGACGATACTTACGTCAGTCAAAATACGGGGGGAAATGCAATTGCAACTTGTCAAAATTACATCATCAAGTCTTCAAGAGAGAAGATCCCAGTGTGATATTCCCAGCGTTGCCTTTGGAGAACGCGTTCTCTCAAGCGAGTTTCTTCCTCCCGGAAACTAGAGCGGATGACATTATCGACAGCAGTTGTAGCTTGACAACGTTCGCGACAACGTTCGCAACATGTCCGGTCGGGTGCAAGAAGGTTGTTACATTTTAATTACAACGCAATGTAAGTGAACACTGTCGGCAAAGCGCGTAAAATTATCAGAGTGCCGTAGCGTGTCTCGCAACGCTGCGATAACGATCGTCCTCTTTCAGCGAGCGCGTGGATCTTAATTTTATTACTTGCGTCGCATATACATTTCCTTATCATTATGCGCGCGGCGCACACCGGAAACTTTTATCGGGTTTATTTTTTTTTAACTGTTTTTTTTTTTTTACACGACTTAAGCAAAACTTACACTACTTACGAGAAATTTACTACGCTAGGAAGATCGGGTAATGGGATAACAATGGTATCTTATAGAAATGTTCTAATTACGGTAATTGGGCCAACGAGTTTTTGGCCTTCTGGACGACCGGGGCTCATCTCGATCACTTTTAAAACCGCTGCCGCGAAAGCAGGATGACGTTAATTGAGACGAAGTATCATGTAAAACGCCTCGTGGCGCGCGCATTAATAAATCATACGCGAAAAAAAGCCGCAAACGCGCGCGAAAGCGAATCGATAAACGCGACCCCACTGCACTGTCGCGGGTAAAGCGTTTAACCGCGAAACAAGGAAACGGCAACTGCACAGCGGTAACGGATTCATCCTCTTTCTCTGCTTTCCTTTCTCCTCTCTCTCTCTCTCTCTCTTCTCTTTGCCGGAATAATCTTATTAAATGAGTATTCGAACTTGACGAAAATCCAATAATAAGCCGCGAGTGAAACAGTTCCTGCGCAAACGTAATCGACGGTCCGTAAGATCGCACCGTATTCTCCGCAATTTCTAGGCAATTTCCGTGCGAAATGCTTCGCTGCCCAATTACCTGGCGGGACGACGAATATTATTGAGACTTTCATATGGGCTGCTCTTTCACGGTGTATCGCTCGAGAAAATTCTCTCTCTCTCTCTTTCATATTCCACGACTTAACGAAATCTCTTGTTCCGCACGTTAGATAAGTTTCTCAGTAAGAAGTAAGATATCTTTGTAGATTTGTCGCTTCATTTTTCCAGAATTTTCATCATCAATTAGATTTCCTCTTTCTCATCGGTTCTGTCTTGCAATCGAAAAGTTTCACAGTGTTTTATATGTTACAAAAAAGTGAAGATTTTGTGTGTAAAAAGCTTTGCAATTGTTATTCAACACTTGCAAAAAATTTTTCCGTTTGGGCGTTGAATAAATTATATTGAGAGTTTCAGGCGTATCAAAGCGCAAACTCTAAATTGAGTCTCTAATTGCGAGTGTAATCTCGACACAGCATCGTTGATTTGCATAATCAATAAATCATCTTCACTTTTATTGGATCTTACCTCAACAAGCGCGCGCGAGCGGCGGACAAAAAGAGCAACAATTTTCATCGCGGTGAATTTCACGAGTTGCACTTCTTATTTCACTCGAGCAGACGAAGGTGTATAGTAAAAAGAAACGCGGAATGAGACTCGCAAAGTGAACTCCGGGCACGGAATCTAAATGCGAACGGTACGCGTGTGCCATGAACAAATTGCGCGGGGGAATAAAGGCTTTTACCATTCTTGCGAGAGCTCGTCTCTGGTCTTGCCACAAAAGAAGTCTGCGCGAGCGACGCGATTTAACGAAATTTACTTCCGAGTCGATTAACTTTTAATCTCCAGCAGTCAGATATATATATACACGTATAATAAAGGCGCGTGCTTTGACTCGAGCGAACTTACGGAATGTATGCGGCGTGTTTCAGAAGGCGGAAGCACATTTTAGAAACAGCTTCTTCTTCTACTTCTTCTTCTTTTTTTTCGACGTAGAGAGATTGTTTTCGTTTTTCTCGTTTTTAAGCAAAAGAAAAAAAAAAGCAAACTGGTTGCACTCATTATTCCAGTTTACGTACGTACATTTCTTACACACGGGAAATGTACGTTGATACCGAGATATATATTACATCTCAGGGTTACATCTCCATCTTGGATCAATATAACCCGGACAGCGGGGGCTCGAAGCAACATGTCGATGAACCACGAATGCGCCGAACGCGCGCACAAGTGATGGTTACGTCGCGCCGCGACTCAACTCGCATAGTTGAGAACCTAATCACGGATTTCCTAGACAGTCGTAAAACCCTTATTATGTATTCGACTCAGCTTCTACCGTAATCCACGACGGAACTATAATATCGTGCTAATATTATGCATGGTGAATCGCGAGCAACTCGATATTCGCATGCCGCACGTATTACACCGGCGCGGTGAGACGCGAGCGCGCGCTCTTGTCCGGTCATAAATAAGGAGCGAAGTAGTATTAGCCGGTAATAAGCCCGGCGAGTTTTATACACGCGCGCGAATGAGCCAATTCGAAACGGTTAATTCATTTATGTGAGATTTATGCGAGATTTAATAGAGAGCGAGTTCGGAACTCGTTGTGTAATGTAATGTCTAAATTACAGTCTAACGTTGCGCATTATTTCGCCGAATAAATAATATCTCTTATATCGTGCAGCGCGCTCGTCTCGATATAACGGGGAGAGCAAGAGAAAGAGATGTAAAAGTTTTTTGTTTTTATCCGGGAACGTACGTGTGCCGATGCGAATCTGTTTTCACGTACAGGCTTGCGAACGGCCAGCGGCCGCGGATATCGATCGACTGACTAATTGCGAAAAGCTTTTCCGGTAACGTTCGTAACGCGATAATCGCGGAGGAGCACGAGAATTTCGATGCGAACGCGTGCCAGATATAATTGGATGTTCCAGAAAAATGGTAGCGCGCTACTTGCAATATTTTATAGAAACCGCTTTCCGGACAGGGTCGCTTCTCGGACGAACGATCTCTCTCGCGGAGGAGATGTGGAAGGTAACGGGGTTTGGAGATAGCTGAGCATCTCGCGAAACCGAACTTCCCCTCATCGTGTGTTATACGTTGTTACACATCGACTATCAACCATAACATCTGTCACCGATTGTTACGCGCGCTAATTAATTAAATTGCTATTCCATAGACCGCGGAAATCCTCTGTCGTGAGATACGGAAACTTGCTCTATAAGTCGTCACCCGAGGCGAAGCTTAATCCGCGTTGCCATTTGCAACGTAATTATCCTTGCAAATTTAATTACACAATTAAATTTTTCCGGATGCCAATTAACCTACAATTCGCTGAATTATAATTACGTCTCGTCGTTTCTTTCTTACCTATTATCACCCGCTTTCCACGACTTTTGTGAAATGTCGCTTCTCACGCCAGTTTTTCAACATTATATTTCATTATGTGCGAAGTCCTTCCAATTTTCCTCTCTCTCTCTCTCTCGGCCTCTATTTTTTATATTAATTTTGTAATTCAACAAATAAGCTCTTAATAAATATAATTGTTGACATTTGATACAGCGCGCGCTCGTTAATGATTAATGAAATAATCTCAATTATAACATTGATGTCCAAATTGTCGAACTTGCAGAAAATGTAAAGCAGATGATTCTGCTATGCGCGATCTAAACTATCTGCATTTTTGCACGTTCAACACTGAAGTTGAATATTAAAATTTAAATAATAAAATAAGTCATCGGAGAATTTCATTTCGAGAGTACGCTAAATATTTTCTCCCCCTCTTCTCCCGCATCTGTCTATATATTCGATAGTTCGAAAACCTCCGCGGTTGCGCATTTCCGTTCGCGAGAACACGACTTCCCGTTCCCGGGGGGGAAAGGGGTAAACGTATTAAGCGACGAATTCTTGACGACATTTCGGAGGTTGCACGCCGACAGTATTTTCCCTCGCCGAGCGACGAGGTAACCTGTCCGTGGCTCTGCCGCCGCCGGAGCTCGACGTGGGACGTTCCGTAGGACCTGCGCGCTCCGCCGGCCCGGCGGTTCAGTCGCTTCTACCAAGCGGCACTCACGTTCCGTGTCCGGACCGCACGCGCCTTTGCCGCGCACGCGAGAGACCAATCTCACTCCTCTCTCTCCTCCCTTTCGCTCTCGTTCACTCCGCGACGACCACGGCACATTTCATTGTGCAGCGTTTCGCTGTGCGAGAGGCCAGATCAATCGCGTGAATTTTCCGCGCGGACAGAATCGCCGGGAAATCTCCACCGTTTTCTCTCTCTCTTCCTCTCTTCTATCTCTTTCTATCTGTCTCTTTCGTCCTCGAAATATTCTGACGATAGATCGTCGCGTTCGCCAGAGCGAAGAGAGAACGCAAGCGCTCATTTATCTCGCGTCTGAGATGACGAAGGACGCGCGATTAACAGTGTTGTGAGGGCTCTGCATGGAGGGCGACCAGCGTGTTTGACAAGTGATTAGTGAGCGGCGATTCTCTCCCAAGTTTTCAGTTAGTGCTACGTAAGCGAAGAAGAAGAGCGTGAGGTCTTTGCGGGTGGCAACGTTACACACATGAGGGTGAGTGCCACTTTTCTCTCTCGTTTTGTCTTTATTTTTGCCGGCCCGTGATCGCGAGATAAATGCACATCGTAATAGTCTGACGGGCCGTAAGTCTTTTGCACGCGGACGGAAAGAAGCGACTCTGCGAGAAAGTTCCGTCTTCTCACGTTGGTCGATGTTGATATAAACGAGCGATTGACTCGATGAATCACACGTGCGCCCACATCTTTACTCGGCACATTACTTCTCGCGGAACCGAAGAGAAAGAGAGAGAGAGAGAGAGAGACAGAGAGAATAATCTTTCTCACGCAAACATACTCTTATGTATTCGTGAAAAGTGATAAATCGCGTGGCGGAGAAAAATTTTCATCTCGCGTTTATGTGCATTATGTGTACAATCGTTCGATCACAATCGATTCGTCGGAGTTTATATGACGATCGCGCGGAAACTTTGGCATGTACAAACGTGGTGGTGGTTAATTGCGCCGGCGATCCAATTAAACCGTAGCAACAAAGATCAACACACAAGCGCGGAATTAATTTAATTATAATTACACAAGACTTGCGCGCGCGCAAGAGATCGGAAGATCAAGAGCGCGATCGTCGGAGCGCTGCGTTATTATACGTCGAAAAGCGCGGACTCGCGAAATGGGCGAAGTCAATATGTGTTCGTTCTCTTTTTACGGTTGATGAACGCAATACGTCACAATCGATCACAGCGTGTCGCGAAAATGTCACGCGGAAAGGAAGTCGCTCTTCTTTCGGTCGTCGTGCGAATGCAAGTAACACGAATCGCGCGAGAGTAGACCGCGCGCATCCGTGACGCGGCGACGAATTCGAGAGAGATTAATCGTGTACGTACCGGGTCTCCGGCGTGTCATAATTAATCGCGTCATCGGTGCGCGACTCATGTGCTAATGACAGGTAGGAATTAACGTGCACGTATACGTGCGCGCGCTCGCGCGCGCGAGATGCACTTCTAATTATTGCGCCGTCGCTTCACCTCCCCGTGGGATCAGACGAGCTTAAAGTCCGTTGAACGCCGCGTCGTACATTATTCTCGATCTCTCCGTTCAACCTCCAGCGAGAAGAGCGGGAGGGGTTAGGTGGTTTTAACCATTCCGCCCTTTAGTTATGGCAGACTCTCGGCGAGGCCGTCTATTAATAAGGAGGAAGATCCCCGGGCCGCCTTTGTTATCAAGCATCGTGTCACAGTATGAATTGCGGGAACGCCGGTTCGGCTCCGAGCCACCGAAGCGACTGCCGTAATGAATGGCCGATAGTTAAATGCTCGCGGAAACATCAGCGCAATCCATTCCCCACCTACCCCGTTTCTTCAGCGATGTCACAGTATTTCTTGCACAGTCTCGCGCTGTCTCGTTATTTACTGCACTTTAGTTCAAATATGTCGTGAGTCTGCAGTCGTCGGGTTTTTCTTACGAAACGCGCGCGCGCGAAAACAGTTATTACACTCTTATAAAACTACTAAATGTCATTATATATATATATGTAGTTTTATCTTACAATAACCGAGACGTTCTTTAGTTCGGTTGTATGAAATATATAAAAGAACGATTTTTGTCATACAAACATAGAAGTTACAACCGTTCAACACCCATATATTTCACGTTCCGATTTACCTGTATTATTTCCACCTGCAAGATAAATGGTCGACACGTGATATTATTCGCGTTGTAATACGCGATCTTGCGCAGATCGTGTAACGGGCAGGGCAAAGAAGATTGTTGCGGATTCGGCAACAATCCAGATGGCGGTACGTTAACCAACCGGCCGGAGTTTCAGCGAGATTAGTCGCTTGATAATTAAGAGCACGTGTTTTGCAAAATTACAAGACAGCCGGTTGCTCGGGCGAGTTAATTAACGCGCCGGTTATGAACACATTCATCCAGAGATGCACTATCCAGTTCGAAAATCATGATTCTCAGTTAGCGGAACACGATGCTCGATCAGTAATTACTACATTACGGCAAACCGATCGCCACAAATATCGCCTCAATTTTCACAATTTCGTGAAAACCGACGTTTTGCGTTTGGCTCAAATGTCCGAGCGAAACAGATTTTTCCAACGAGATACCGTGACCACAATCTTTTGTGATTTTAATTATAAGCACACACACACGCACACACACACACACGCCGTACATTTCAAAATATATATCAAATTATAATCGCAACGGACGATATATAATTCACCTGTACGTCGCGTTAAATTATTAATCTAATTTTATCGTTCAGAGGCTGTATGGATAATATAATCCTATTATATCTGTTATACATTCCGTGATACTATTAATTGCAAAACGTCAGCTTTCGTCACAAGCTGTAGGATTATTGTTGAAAATAACATTTAAAATTTTATCGCATAAAAATCGAAAAAGATTATGTAAAATAAAAGAGAATGCGCACGTGAATAGCCGCGGAAGAAGAAGCCGAAATGCGTTCCTCTTGTGAATTGTTCACCTTAATGCGAACGAGAGGTCATCAAGGGCCCAACACAATCGATCCTCGAAGGATCGGCGAATACCTTTTAAAAGTCAAATGCGTGTTCGAATGCTTTTGACTGCTTGGCAGTAACAACGACTTTGTAAGGTCGGGATAAAAAACGATATAAATGAGAAATTCATCGTATATTTAGTTGTGTGAAATAAGAACGAGAATAAAATATGTGTAACGGAATATATTGAATTTTCCAACATTTTAAATACACTCTTCTCTATCTTCTCTATCTTCATCGTAACAATTTAATATATTCCAAGTGACATTTTCGTACGAGCAGCAATATAAACTTTAAATAACTGGACGAAAATATTTTAAATGCGTTTTTTAAACATTTTGCATTATATTTTGCAGAGAGAGATTAATATTTGAAGAATCCTTACAGTTGGATAATAAAAGTAGCAAGCTCCGATTAACAAATATACTCGGATTAAAATATCAATTCAAACTTCATAATGCACGAACTATTCTGATACGTCGCGGAGAATATGTAAAGAGAGAGGGAAAGAGAGACGCTATTCTACTCTTAAACAAGATAAAATCTCTCTTTTGATGAAAAAAAAAAAAAAAAAGAACTATCCGAACTTCTCTCTCGTAAAATTGCGCAAATATGATTCATTTACCAGACCGAATAATTTACGTGACACAAATATTCGCGGATGAAAGACGCGCGTGCGGTGCGATGAAAAAGAATGGGACGCGTCGTTCCCCACATTCTCGCCGTGCAAAATGAGAAAGGAGAAAGATGAAAAGTAGGGTGCATACAAAAGATGACTTACGCTCTCGCACGTGGTGCAAGAGCGCGCGAAGATTCATGAACTGGTTTCGAACACAGAAGAGCCGACATCGTATAACTCCGGTATTATATAAAAGGCGCGACATCCGCCGCACACTCGCATTTAAAACAATCTCACGCGACATAAGTTGCTATCGCGACGAGAACGGAATTCACAGGAGACGCAACATATAAGATTGCATCTCGGCGAGAAAAATATGTACTTGCAACGACACAGACGAGAGAGACTTTCTCGCTCTTTTTTCCTTTTTCTTTCTTGAGCGCGCGCGCGCGCGCACGAAGTCCGCGAAAAATTCGATAGTTTCATTCCACTTTTACGGCGCCGTAACGCCGAAGATTTCATCATCGCGGATACGGACGGGCGAGAAGACGGTGGCATCGGAGATGGCGACCGGCACGGTGAGGATCAGTCGGGCGGAAAGCTCTTTCGGGACGAAATACACGCGGCTATGCAAATATCCGGAGTCGAGTATTCGGAAGACGAGAGAGAGAGAGAGAGAGAGAGAGAGAGAGAGAGAGAGAGAGAGAGAGAGAGAGAGAGAGAGAGAGAGAGAGAGAGAGAGAGAAGGAGAAGGATGTGCATCTGGGCGAATGCCGGTACTCGGCCTGGGCTACAAGTAGCTCGTAGACTTTCCCGACCGAATCCGACGCTATTTTACGGGATCGAGGGAAACGATGATATCGATCGCGGATCAGAAAAACGGCATTTTGCGAGAAGGATAAAGAGCATAAATGTGAAAAGGAAATCTTCGCGGAGAGGTAAATGACGAAAGTGCCGAAGCGTTATTGTTATAGCTCTTATATATATACCCTTGCCCTTTGAATTCCGCTCGCTCGAAGTTTCCAACAACCTAGCGCGATAATTATGGAAATGATGCTCGCGGACGTGTTTGATCATATATAGATCGAGATAATGCGGTCGGACGAGGTGGGAGGGAGAGCTGACGGTAGCTGCGCCGATCGTTTTTGCGCTCGATCGCATATTCCTGGGAATTGACTTAACGTCGATTTTCTATGTAAATGGCCGAGCCGTGCCCGGGACCAATGGCGATTCGCGCGGGAATGCGCGTCTGAGCGCCGATCTACATATAGGACGAAGGGGTTCATCGCCGGCGCGACTTTACATCTCCATGTTTTCGCGCTTCATGTAACTCCCAAAAACGGGATTACTCTACCACACTGTTAAAATAGCTGTGACTCGATTGACTCTCACCCTTTTTCTCATCTAAATGTGAGGAATCTCTCAAGTTTAATTCTACGCACAACACGTGGCAGTGATAAAATCGAACAAGAAAATAGACAATGAATATTCAACGCTAACAATAATAAGTGTTTTGTCACGCGGACTAGATCCTCGCGAAACAATGATACCGTTCCCGCGGTAGATTAATTAGCTCCCCCCATTGTGCGAAACTTTCGATTGGCTGTACTTTAACTCGAACAAGGGGGTGCTTTCTTGCTCTTCGGGAAAAGTTTACATTTTCGAACTTAACGGCTTGTTCTTTCCCGGCACTTTAATTCGTTCGGCGCATTCTCGCGATTGATTTTTTTTTTTTTTTTTTTTTTTTCACGGTCTACTCAAACGAAAAGTTTTCCCTCTAAGCCTCCGGGATGCTTCTCGTTTACGATGAGATTCACTCAAACAGCGGTATGAGCGTAATCGTCAGCGAGGAACGATATTCGGCACGCTTGCGAAACGGAAGCA